TGGCTCAGTCGGTTCAGTGTCTGGCATGGCTCAGGTCATGATCTTGCAGTTCTTAAGTTCAAGCCGCATCAGGCTCTCTGTTGTCAGCACAGAGCCAGCTTTGGATCCTCACTCCCCTCTTCCTCTGCCCCTCCTCCACTTGCATGCTCTCTTTCTCAGAAATAAACATTAAAAAAATTTTTTTTTGTTTAAAGAATTACCATATGATCCAGTAATCTCACTACTGGGTATCTACCGAAAGAATACAAAAACACTAATTCAAAAGGATATATGTGCTCCTATGTTTATTTCAGCACTATTTACAATAGCCAAAATATGGAAGCAGCCTAAGTGTCCAGCAAAATCAGTCAGAGAAAGACAAGTATCATATGATTTCACTCATATGTGGAAGAAACAAAACAAATGAACAAAGGAAAAAAGGACAAACCAAAAAACAAACTCTTAACTATAGAGAACAAACAGGTGGTTACCAGAGGGGAGGCAGGTGGGATGCTGGGTGAAGGGCTGAAGAGTACGCTGATCTTGATGAGCATGGAGTAATAATACATGAGATACTAAGTCACCGAAACTAATTTAACACTGTTAACTATACTGGAATTAAAGTTTTTAAAAAATACTAAGTCCTATAGAGAAGACTTACAGAAACTACACATTATGTTGAATACCTGAAATTAATTTAACACTGTATGTTAACTCTACTGGAATTGTTTTTTTTAAAATACAAAGTCCTATAAAGCAGACTTATAGAAACTACACATTACCAGATAACAGTAAGACCTCAATTAGCAAAACATCTTGGAATAAAGCTTTTCACCAAGTTGGCCATCTTAGCAGGAATAGAACATTCTTTCCTCAGGTCAGAGCAGTATCAGGAGTGACAATGTCCCCACAGTTATAACTCCCTTACAAGACTTATGGCTTTAAGGAACTATGTTTATCTCAGTGAAATGAGTGAACACAGGTCATCTGGAACTGAGGGAACCCAGGTACAGTCCTTTAGCTCATTATCCTTACCTCAAAATAGATCCAACCCTTGTGTGTATACTACACAGTGTAAGAAAGCCTGTCTAAAAGGCACAGGGTTCGTACAGGACCAAACACGTTGGTAAGCCACAGCCTAGATATTAACAATTCTTACCCTGTAAGAATGCCTCAAAGAATCTAACTTCAAGAAATACATTCCCTCCAACCCAAAGCATCTCTAGTCCTTTGGCATTATCACATTCATGGTCCCATTGAGTTTTCTTCTTTCAGAGTGGTAGGAGTAACTGACTTCCTACAACGACGGAGGCCCTGCTATTGCTATCACAAGGATCCCCTGGGATGTATTTCTACAGAGAACAATGTTTCTTTTGGCTGCAAATCACCTCAAAAGTATGGCCTTTTCTTAAAGACAACTCTATTATCAAAGCAGATCTGGGATCATATAATTCACCCTTCTAACTATTGGAAGATGTTTGTGCTTCCATGGCATTGAAGTTCAGTTTAGACCTCGTTCTATTTTTATCTCTTCCAATAATTTATCTGCAAGTCTGTCTTAAAGTTCTGCTTTCAAACCAATTTAATTCCCCTTTTTTATGATTCATATGGCCTTCAAGTCTAGTATATACTTTGATCCAACTTACTTTTTTCATTATGGTCACTGGTCTTGAATTTATGTATGAAATCTCATTACCCTTATATACTGATAGCTTTGAAAAAATACGAACACGTGTTTCTTTTTGCCCTACTTCTTCTTTTATGCTTGAGATCCCATACTCCTCTCTTCCCACTTCTCCAAGTCCCCCCTCCTCCTCACTCTCTCACAGAAAACCTTTTCCAATCAGTCACTGTCACACCTTATCAAGTCACGCTGAAAGTGATGCTAGCTAATAAGGACACTCAAAAGAGGACTGTTTAAGGGGTCTGACCCAGAAAAGCTGCCAAGATTCCCATCATCTCCAACATAAATGAGCTTGGTTGAATGAATAATAATAAAGTATTCATTCAAAACTTGCTTCAAGCTCTCCAAACCTGTGAAACAAATAACACATTATCCTAGTTCAGATATCATAAACTCTTGCCTAGTCCTAGACTATTACAATAGTTTCTTAACTGGTCAGGCCCTCATTCAATACCTGTTTCAATGAGTCCCCCACCCAATAACTAGACTAATCTTCTTGTAGTATAACTGTCAGCATACCATCTTGCTCAAACTCTATCAATCATTTCTCTTGGGGCGCCTGGGTGGCGCAGTTGGTTAAGCGTCCGACTTCAGCCAGGTCACGATCTCGCGATCCATGAGTTCGAGCCCCGCGTCGGGCTCTGGGCTGATGGCTTGGAGCCTGGAGCCTGTTTCCGATTCTGTGTCTCCCTCTCTCTCTGCCCCTCCCCCATTCATGCTCTGTCTCTCTCTGTCCCAAAAATAAATTAAAAAAAAAAAAAAAAAAACAAACGTTGGAAAAAAGAAAAAAATCATTTCTCTACTACCTTATAGCATAAAGTACCAACTCTCAGACCGCACACATCAATGATTCCAGTTTACCTTTTTCTCCATTACCAAAACCTCTGTGTATACTGTAGCATAATACTTACCTATATGCCAGTTCCTATTATGGCCTCCACCTTGCTCATTTCTGTGCCTCACACAGAAGGGCCTTTTTCACACCCAAGTCTGAAATGCTACATATACTTCAGTTTAGCCCCAAGCATTCCTGATTCCAACAACCAGAGGTGATCTCTTCCCCTCACAAACTTGGCATTTATCATTTGGTATTTCAAGACTTACCTGACAAAATCCTGGTATCAAAATTTGATTCACATACTTTTTTTCTGTCCTCCACAGAACTAGCTTAATGCACAGAGTGAGCACTTAATTCAGTAAATATTTTAGGAAGAAAGTGGGTATATAGGAAGGAAACATTCTGGTTGTTTTATATATGTAACTACTCGTTACATTTTCAACATCAACAAAGCTCTCAGAAAACATTAAGCCTTTTCCAATACTGTGATCAAAGCCAAGGTGAGCTCCTGTCACTGTAATTGGTGTCACCCATAGGTCCAGAGCACAGACTGGATGAGAAGTACACCCATGGAAAACTAAAGGTTTTCCTCCCAAAATAATCTAACAATACAAAATCTATTACAGGAATCTTCTCTGGAACCACCCGGCACTGATTTTTCATCTTAACCTAATGACAACTTCAACAGGGGTAACAGCAAAAAGCAATTTCTTTTAAGTGTCACAACTAAACTGAAGACCTGATATGTCTACATCCATTAGCATTACTAAGTCTCATAAAAAAGGGCACTTCTTGCTAATGAGATTTTTCTCACTTAAAGAATGTCCCGCATACCAGATCATTATAGTATGGTGTTTTCATACACATGCCATCAATGTTGCCCTAATAAGACTATGTACTGAAGGTCTGTTTAAGCTTCCTGATTTTAACTACTTCCAGTACAGCAATGGCCAAATGTGGCCCTCTCAATAGCAGAGATGATGGTCCCATGCGAAAAGAAGAGCACTGTGTTCACTTAAATTGCAAAGCAGGTGCCTTAAATAAAATGCAATGGAGTAGAAACCCCCACTCTGGAACAAATCTTCAAGTCCCCCTGGAAGGTGTCAACTTTGTGAAAAGAATTACTGTGTATGTGTGTGTGTTTGTGTGTACACACACAATATATATACAGTTGACCCTTGAACAATGTGAGGGTTAAGGTCACCGACCCTCCCACACAGTTGAAAATCCACACACAACTTTTGACTCCCCCAAAAACTTAACTACTAATAGCCTACTGTTGACCAAAAGCCTTGTTGATAACAGTCAACTAACACATTACATTATATGTATGTACATACGTTATATGTATTCTTACAATAAAGTAAGCTAGAGAAAAGAAAATATTAAGAAAATCATAAGGAACAGAAAATATATTTACAGGACTGTACTGTATTTATAAAAAAAAAAAAAAAATCTGCAAATAGACCCACGCAGTTCAAACTGTGTTGTTCAAGGCTCAACTGTACATACAACCAGCCCATGTTATATCTATTCTCCCAATTTCCAAACACTATTTCAAGACTTTTTTTTTTTTCTTTTTTCTCTACAATCATCTACTTACTCCAGTCCCAATTTCTGGCTCCTAAATGTAAACAGAACTAAAGGGAAAATGCAAACGTCCTTTAAAAAAGGAGAGATGCCAAGGGCTGCAGATAACTGGACAAAAGCCACAGTTTAAAAACATTTAAGAGACTTCCCAACTCCTACCAAGCCCACATCTAGGTCCTTCTTTTTTTTTTTTCTTTGTAGTGTTTATTTATTGTTGAGAGAGAGCTAACTCAAGTAGGGGTAGGGGTATGTGGGCAGAGAAAGAGGCAGAGAGAATCCCAAGAAGATTCTGAGTTGTCAGTGCAGAACCCGAAAAGGGGCTTAAACCCACAAACTGTGAGATGACGACCCAAGAGGGTTGAAGACCCAAGAGGCAGACACTCAACCGAGCCACCCAGGCGTCCCATGGGTCCTTCTTGAGCATAACCATGTTTTAAATATATCCATAGAAAGCAATAATCCGCCAAAAATAACAATTTAAACTTATACTATTCTGAATTAGGCCCTTGTCATCTCTTGCCTAAATTTCTGCACTATCCTCCAAATTCCTCTAAACTTTCAGTGTACCACTTACTTTCACGTAAGTACAACTGGGCTAATCTTGGAGACTGTTATGTCAAATGCCTTCCATGAATTTCCCACCACATGGTACTATTACCCTCCTAGTCTCACCTTCAACTCCCCTACATTTTTAACAGCTTTTTAACAACTACATAACAGATATATAATCTTTTTAACAGAGATATAATCCACATACCATAAAATTCACCTACTTAAGTGTAGTTAAGTGTTTTTTAATAGAGTTGTATAAACATCACCACTATCTACTTTTAGAACATTTTTCATTGTACCCATTAGCAGTCATTCCCCATTCCCACCCCACCCTAGCCCCAGGAAACACTGACTTACTTTTATGTATCTAGAGATTTGTCTATTCCGGACCTTTCATACATCATACAACAGCTGGTCTTTTGTGACTGGCTTCTTTCACTGAGTGTGTTTTGGAGGTTCATCCAGCTTGCAGCAGGTGTATGAACTTTAGTCCCTTTTTATTGCCAAATAATATTCCATTGTTTGGATATACCCTTTTATCTATCCATTCATCATTGTCGGGCGACTGGGCTGTTTTTATTCTTTACTATTACAGGAAATGTTGCTACAAACATTCAAACATTCACTCATTGGTGTACGAGTTTTTTTGTGAAAATATCTTTTCATATCTCGGGTATACACATAAAGGCAGAAGTGCCAGGTCATACGTTGAACGTATAGGTAACTACGTTGAACGTTTTGAGGAACTGCCGAACCGTCCTGCAAACTGCCTCTACCGTTTTATACGTGCACCAGCAATGTATGGGGGTTCCAGTTTCTCCAAGTTGATAACAACTTGGTATTCTCTTTTTGATTATAGCCATTCTAGTGGGTGCCAAGTGGTTATCTCCTTGTGGTTTTGATTTGCATTTCCCTAGTGACTAATGATATCGACTATCTTTCCAAGTGTATATCTGAATAGACCTATAACAAGTAAAGAGATTAAATTAGTAACTTAAAAACTTCCTGCAAAGAAAAGTCCACTGTGTGCCACCTGAATTGGCTGAGAATTGTCAAAACCGGCAAGTTTAGGCTCCTCTTTGTTTAAGAGGCTTCCTTTAGCTCCTGTCCCTCCTCTGACACTTTGCTATAACCAGCAAGAAGAAACGAGGTAACACCTTTGGTACTGCCTAGAAATCTCCTTAGCTGCATCACATCACCCAGTTCCTTAAGTACGTTCTCCACCTTCCACCTCACTACAGCCAGCAGTAGTTGTAATAAACCTGTCACTACGTAACAAGGATCCCCTTTCCTCTAATTTCCAGTAACACTATTTTCACTTTCCTTTAAACCCTCACCCACAGCTTCCTCAAAGACCATCCTAGTTCTAAAAGCAGTTTTTAAAAGCTCTTCAGGCTTTCACTAGCACTCCCTTCAAAGTCCTTCCAGCTGCCACCCACTGCCGCATTCCAAAGCCACTCCCCCATTTTCGGTTTTTGTTAGGCAGCACTCCACTGCCAGATCCAAAATCTGCATTAGCTTTCTATTGCTGCATTAACACACTGCCACAACACTTAGCAGCTTAAAACAACATTTATTATCTCACAACTTCTGTGCATCAGGAATTTGAGAGCAGCCTATCTGGGTGGTTCTGGCTCACAATCTCATTAGGTTGCATTTAAGATATCAACCAGGCAGCAATATACACTTTCAAGGTGGCTCACTCACACAACTGTTGGCAAACACAGTAAGGTTCCTCTATAAAGCTGCCTGCATATCCGCACAACATGACAGCTGACTTCCCCTAAAGAGACAATGAGGCTGAAGCTGCGATGCTATTTGTGACCTAGCCTCAGAATTCTAACATTAACACTTCCATCACATTCTAGTCATCAGAGTCACTAAGCACAGCCCACATGTGGGGGGTTGCTTAATCTCCACCTTTTAAAGGAAGGCGTATCAAAGAATTTGTGGACATATTTTTAAACCACCACTCCTTCACCCACTATAAAAAATAATCTCGTCTTTCTCTAAATGCTTAGAATTTCCTTACACCGCTAAGGCACTTATAGTCTGTCTGACAGTTATGTGTGTACCTACATATCCCATGCTGCCAGGATTGGAACCATCTTATCCACCTTTTTATCATCTGAGGACACCTTACACATGATGAAAAAACACACTGGACCAAGAGTCAGAAGACCTGGAATCGAGCCTTAGAGCTGCACTTACTCCGATGTGATCTTGAGCAAATTTCTAGCCTAACTTCAATTTCTTCATCTGCAAAATGGAGATCATCTCACCTCCCTCACAAAGCTTACTGAGAAAGTTAGGTCAAACAATACATGTAAAGAAGTTTTACAAAACATAAGCCATTACATAAAGATCACATTGATAAACATTTGTTAAGTTACATTTACAGACCCGTATCAGTATTATAGTACTGACCCTAATATAGTGTTGCTACAATGGATTTCAGTGTTATTATTATTAAGCCTGTTCAGTTTCAGTGAAATACTTTTCTCCTCTATTTTTTCTTTTTTTTTTTTTTTTTTTTTTTTTGGTTAAACACTTTGACATTTTACCAGAGGGCTCCAGGCCATCTTTGCTCTAAAAAGCTCAACGTCCTCCCACTTATCTTCTCATCAGAGTGAGAAAAATAGAATCAGCAACTATAACCGTATCTAAAAGGTTTTATCTAAAAGCTCAGATGGATTAGTTCAGTCACTCAATCAGTTTTTACTGAGTACCTACTACGTGCCACTGTTTGAAGGACTGCCCAATGCAACTTTCATTCTAGTAGAGGAAAATAATAAATGAACAAGTAAATATGTAGTATTGTAGTATATCTGATGGTAAAAGGGCTACAGAGAAAAATAAAACAAGACTAAGATGTTAGGGAGTATGGGGAGTAGGGGCTAAGTGAAAGGCATTTTTATGGTGGTTAAGAAGTGGACTCAATGTTAAGTTGACATCCAAACAAATGAAAGAGCAGAGCCATGTGGCATTTTAATCCCTATGTATTTGAAGTGAGGTGTATAAAAGTCCCTGCAGAGATACGCTTGGTTGGAAGACCAGTATGACTAGAGCAGAGTGAGGCAGAGAAAAGGAGATGAGGTCTAACATGTGAGAGGGAGCCTGCTTGGGATTCTTTCTCTCTCTCTCTCTCTCTCTCTCTGCCCCTCTCCTCCACCCACCCTGTCTCTCTCTTTCTCTCTCTTGAATAGATAAAATAAAACATAAAACATAAAAAATATTTAAAATGTGTGAGAGGACATACATAGCCAAATCGTCCCTTGCAAGCCTCAGAGATTCCGGGTTTTACCAAAGATAGGAAATCACTAGATGGTTAAAATTAACAGTGAGCAAAGGGTCACTCTCATTCTGACTCGGGCAGCAGTGGTAGAAAGAGTAGGAAATTATGAGATTATAAACACAGTTGAAGGCAGAATGCAGAGGATTTGCTGAGCCGCACAGTGGCATTCAGCGTTCTGCCAAGGCTGGCCAAGAAACAAACCACTGATGCCTCAGCCAAGATTTCTGACAGCTTCACATTTCTGTCTCCTTAATAAGGCCCACTTCTCCTTCTCTGCTGCATGTATTTCAAGGGTAAGAAACCTTCTGCATTATAGGTGAAGAAATAGAAATCATTTTTGAGTTGTAATGATATATATATTTTTTTACATTTATTTATTTTTGAGAGACAGAGCATGAGCTGGGGAGGGGCAGACAGACAGGGAGACACAGAATCCGAAGCAGGCTCCAGGCTCTGAGCTGTCAGCACAGAGCCGGACGCAGGGCTCGAACTAACAAACCGTGAGATCATGACCTGAGCCGAGGTCAGACGCTTAACCGACTGAGCCACCCAGGTGCCCCAATATAATGACATTTTGAATATAGTACACCTAAGAGACAGCAAATACACAAAACACATACTGAATCTTCTTACTTCTTTATTGTGTAGAAAAATCTTAGAAATATTCCTCAATATTTTAATATAGAGGTATCAAAGTTAAAATACAAAATCTAAAAACCATGTAAACAAGATGGCCTTTTCAAAAACTCATACTAAAACTCATGTCTCACATGGAAAGTTCTCCCATCATGTATTTAATGAAAGATGAACAGCAGAAAAATGTTTGATATCATCTCATTTGTGGGGAAAACATTTATATGCATAGAAAATGTCTCAAAGGATACCAAATTGTTAAAAGTAGCTACCATCAATGAAGCTTTTTACTCTTTTGTGTATTTTGGGTTTTTTACTGAATACAATTCTATACTTATTTTTTTTTACAAACATATATTACTCTCAAATTAAAAAAAAAAAAACTGAAATGAAAACAAATACAGTAGCCTCCATACCAAGGCCTAGGGAATGAGGCTGAGCTTGCCATGTCTGCGGAACCAGGAGAGAAGCAAACTCACTCCAAACTCATCGGTATCTATCTTCCAGCCAGACTACAAACCACCCCAGTAGTCTCCCCAAAATAACAGACAGTTATGTTTAGAGATCAAGTGGGAAGGGGCATGTTTTCTAAAACACTTGGCCACTAGCAACTGCCTTAATGCCTGACATTAAAACTCAAACAAATGTGTGCCTATTTGATAGCTGCTTTAGGAAAAGGCAGGTTTCTACATCCTGTGAAAGGGAATCTTTAGTACTTTGCTCTGGGCTGGAAGTCTTAAAAAGTTAGAGGAAAAGGAACTAGTCAGAGAACCAAAGTTTTCAACAAAATTTAATAGAAAATTTTAGGGACGCCTGGGTGGCTCCTTTGGTTGAGTGTCTGACTCTTGATTTCGGCTCAGGTCATGATCTCACAGCCATGAGATGGAGCCCTGTGTTGGGCTCCTGCGCTGGGCTGGGCATGGAGCCTACTTAAGATTCTCTCTCTCCCTCCCTCTACCCCTCCCCTGCTCACACATGTGCTCTCTAAAAAACAAACAAAACTTTTAACACACATTTCTCTCCACACACATGCACCAAGAAAAGGCCATGGGAGCACATGGGGAGAAGGCAGCTCACTGTCTGTGAGCCAAGAAGAAAGTCCTTACCAGAACTCGACCAAGCTGGCACCCTGATCTTGGGCTTCCAGCTCCCAGAATTGTGAGAGAATGAATTCTGTTGTTTAAGCCACTCAGTCAACAGTAGTTCGTTATGGCAGCCTGAGTAGACTAAGGCAAACTACTGCATGCAATGGATACTATTCCACATCATGGAATACTATATAGTCTTTAAAAAAGAATAAAGCAGCTCTTTGTGAATGCATATGAAATGATACATAAGATGCAACAACAAGTGAGAAAAAGCAAGTTGCAGAACAATGTAGAATATGCTACTTATATGAAGGAATAGATATTGTATTTGCTTGTACATATACAGAATATCTCTGGAAGGATACACAAGAAAGTTGTGGCCTCTGAGATGGGTCAAGGATGGTTAAAAGTGTTAGGTAGATATTTCACTGTATATCCCATACATTTTAAATCATTACCAGACAAATTGTAATACCTACCCCAAATATGTTTTTTTAATATTTATTTTTTAGAAAGAGAGAGAGAGGGGCGCCTGGGTGGCGCAGTCGGTTAAGCGTCCAACTTCAGCCAGGTCACGATCTCGCGGTCCGTGAGTTCGAGCCCCACGTCGGGCTCTGGGCTGATGGCTCGGAGCCTGGAGCCTGTTTCTGATTCTGTGTCTCCCTCTCTCTCTGCCCCTCCCCCGTTCATGCCCTGTCTCTCTCTGTCCCAAAAATAAACGTTGAAAAAAAAAATTAAAAAAAAAAAAAGAAAGAGAGAGAGAGAGTGTGGGCACATGCAAGTGAAGGAGGGGCAAAAGAGAGGGAGAGAGATGATCCGAAGCAGGCTCTGTGCTGACAGAGGGCCTGATGCAGGGCTCGAACTCACAAGTGGTGAGATCATGACCTAAGCCAAAGTCAGACTCTTAACGAACTGAGCCACCTAGGCACTGCTACTGGCCCCCCCTCCCCCCCGGAAAAACATTTTCAAGTAAAAAAAAAAAAAAAATTTTTTAAGGAACAGGTGGTTTGTTATTTCTCAAAAAAAGGACTTTAATGGAGGCACCTGGGTGGCTCAGTCGGTTAAGTATCCAACTTCAGGTCAGGTCATGATCTCCCAGTTCATGAGTTCAAGCCTCACACTGGGCTCTGTGCTGACAGCTCAGAGCCTGGAGCCTGCTTCAGATTCCGTGTCTCCTTCTCTCTCTGTCCCTCCCCCACTCACACTCTGTTTCTCTCTCTCAAAAATTAATAAACATTAAAAAAATTATTTTTAATACTTTAGGGGCGCCTGGGTGGCTCAGTCAGGTAAGCATCCAACTCTTGACTGCCACTAAGGTCATGATCTCACGTTAGTGAGATGGAGCCTCACATAAGGCTCTGAGCTAACACTATGGAGCTTGCTTGGTATTTTCTCTCTCCCTTTCTCTCTGCCCCTCCCCTGCTCACACTCTCTCTCTAAATAAATAAAGAAAGAAACGGTTTTTAAAAATGATTTTAGAGGCACCTGGGTGGCTCAGTCAGTTAAGCATCTGACTTCAGCTCAGGTTGTGATCTCTCGGTTTGTGGATTTGAGTCCTGTGTCGGGCTCTGTGCTGACAGCTCAGGAGCCTGGAGCCTGCTTTGGATTCTGCGTCTCCCTCTGTCTCTGACCCTTCCCCACCTGTTCGCATTCTGTCTCTCAAATATAAATAAATAAACATTAACATAAATAAGAATAAAAAATGACTTGAGTTGTAAGACACTTTTTAACAGTCATCAATTACTTTGTTCAGGAGATTGTAGCCACTGTAAGGGAGCAAAATTTGCCACCCCAAAATGTGTCCCTTTGGCATATGTATTAGTTTAGGCTGATTACTTTAAAAAATTTTTTATGTTTTGTTTTGTTTTTGAGAGAGAGACAGCGTGTGAGTTGGGGAGGGGCAGAGAGAGGGAGACACAGAATCCAAAGCAGGCTCCAGGCTCTGAGCTGTCAGCACAGAGCCCAAGGCAGGGCTCGAACCCGTGAACCGTGAGATCATGATCTGAGCTGAAGTCAGACGCTCAACCAATTAAGCCACCTAGGTGGCCCTAGACTGATTACTTTTTTGTTGTTGTTGTTTATTTATTTTTGTGAGAGAGAGATAGAGCATGAGTGGGGGAGGGTCAGAGACAGGGGGAGATACAGAATCAGAAGCAGGTTCTAGGCTCCAAGCTGTAAGCACAGGGCCTAACACAGGGCTTCAACCTACAAACTGTGAGATCATGACCTGACTGAAGTTGGACATCCAAACGAATGAGCTACCCAGGCACCCCTACAGGTGCATTTCTATACACTAATAAGGAGCTATCAGAAAGAGAAATTAAGAAAACAGTTGCATCCATTTACAGTTGCATCAAAAAGAAAAAAAATACCTAGGAATAAATTTAACCAAAGAGATAAAAAGACCTGTATTCTGAAGACTGTAGGACATGGATAAAAGAAATTGAAAATGATAAAAATAAGTGGAAAAATCGTGCTCAGGGACTGGAAGAATTAATATTGTTAAAATATCCATACTACCCCAAACAATCTACAAATCCAATACAATCCATCAAAATACGATTTTTCACAAAACTAGAACAAATAATTCTAAAATTTGTATGGAACCCCAAACAGACAAAGCAATCTTGAGAAAGAAGATCAAAGCTATAAATATCATGCTTCCTGATTTCAAACTATACTACAAAGCTATAGTAAAACAGTACGGTACTGACACAAAGACACATACATAGGTCAATGGACTAGAGAGCCCATAAATAAACCCACAAGTGTATGGTCCATTAACCTACTACAAAGGAGGCAAGAATATACAATGGGGAAAAGACAGTCTCTTCAATAAATGGTGCTGGGGAAACTGGACCACTATCTTAACACCATATATAAAAATAAATTCAAAATGGATTAAAGACCTTAATGTTAAGACCTGAAACCAGAAGACTGCTAGAATGAAAGGCAATAAGCTCTTTGACGCCCATATTAGCAGCAGTTCTTTGGACCCGAATCCTCAGGCAAGGACAACAAAAGCTAAAATAAACACGGGATTACGCTGAACTAAAATGCTTTTGCAGAGGAAACCATCAACAAAACAAAAAGGCGACCCACTGAATGGGAGAAGATATTTACAAATCACACATTCAGTAAGAGGTTAACATCCAAAATAAAGAACTGACACAACTTAGTATAAAAAAAAAAAAAAAGATTAAAAAGTGGGCAGAGGATTTGAAAAGATATTTTTCCAAAGAAGACACACAGATGGCCAAGAGACACTCCTGAAAAGGTGCTCAACGTCACTAACCATCAGGGAAATGTAAATCAAAGCCCCAGTGAGACATTACTTCACACCTGTTAGAATAGCTAGTATCAAAAAGATAAAAAATAACAAGTGTTGGAGAGGATGTGGAGAAAAGGGAACCCTCATACACTGTTGCTGGGAACACAGACTGGTGCAGCTACTATGGAAAACAATATGGAGGGTCTTCAAAAAATTAAAAATAAGGCGCCTGGGTGGCTTAGTCAGTTAAGCAACCTCCGCTCAGGTCAAGATCTCACAGTTTGTGGGTTGGAGCCCCATGGAATCCTCTGTCCCGCCCCCCTCTGCCCCTTCACTGCTTGCACTCACATTCTCTTAAAAATAAACATTAAAAAAAAAAAAGCAAAAAAAAAAATTGAAACTAGAATTACCATATGCTCCAATAATTCCACTTCTGGGTATTTACCTGAAGAAAATGAAAACACCAGTTGGAAGAGATACATGCACCCCTATATTCATTGCAGTATTATTTACAACAGCCAAGATATGGACGCAACCCAAGTATCCATCGATAAACAAACATAAAGAACATGTGATAATACCTACAACGAAATATTACTCAGCCATCAAGAATGAAACCCTGGGGTGCCTGGGTGGCTCAGTCAGCTGAGCATATGACTCTTGATTTCGGCTTAGGTCATGATCTTGGGTTTGTGACCTTGAGCCCCACATCTGGCTCTGCGCTGACAGCACAGAGCCTGCTTGGGATTCTCTACCCTCTCCGTTGGCCCCTCCCCCGTTTGCGGGCGCTCTCTCAAAATAAATAAATCTTTTAAAAAAAGAAAAAAAAATGAAATCCTGACATACAGCATGGATGGACCTAAAGGGTATTACACTAAGTGAAATAAGCTAGACAGAAAAAGACAAATAGGTCTGACTCCACTCATAAGTGGAATCTAAATAACAAAAGAACAAACAAAACCGAAACAGATACACAGGTATAAGAAACAAACTGTTCGTTACCAGAAGGGGGAGGCGCCGGGAGCCGGCGAAACAGGTGAAGGGGATTGAAACAGGTGAAGAGGATTAAGTCACAAATTTCCGATTACAAAATAAGTCATGGGCAAGTACAGCGAAGGGGCTATAGTCAATCACACTGTAGTAACTTTGTAGTTACAATAACATCGTAGTAACTGTATGGTGACCACAGCAACTAGACTTATCGTGGGGATCACTTCTTAATGTGTAAATGTTGAATCACTATGATGTACACCTGAAACTACCAGGATATTGAATGTCAAGCACAGTTCTACCCAAAAAACAAACAAAAAAACAACACTCCTCGGAGCACATTTTCTGTCCACCCTCCCCCCACACCTGGAAGCCTTGCAGTCCCAGTCTCTTCCTTACCCATCCACAGCCTGCCTGCCTTCCCCCCCGCCCCCCTTCCGCGCCACTCTTCCCAAACCCCATTTTTCACCCTTCTTTAGGCTCCAGTCCCTCTCGCCTCTGAATTCGCAAAGCCGTTCCTTTCTTGGTCCCCGACTTTACCTCCATCACCTCCCCCCTCTCACGCCTCCAGGTCCCTAACCCCTCCCCCAACACGCTCCCGCGCGCCCACGACCCACCTGCACTTTCCGCCTCTTCAGCGCTGCCGCGTCCAGCCACACGCCGCAGGCCTCCTCCTCCGGGCCTCTCCGCCTCATGGCCGCCGCGGACACCCAGCCCACAAGACGCGTGGCTCTCGCTGCCGGTCCCGCGGCCTCAGGGAAGGGCTATAACGGCCGCCGCCGGCGTTCGGATCTCGCGCCAACGCTGGGGGGCCGAGCCAGGACGTGGCCGCCGGCGCAAGCACCGCCCCGGCGCGCGCCCCGCCCTGCCCTCAAGCCCCGCCCCTTTCCTTAACTCCCGCCGGAGGCTTTAACCGTGGGTTCGCTCCTTGCCCTTTACTGAGGCCTTCACGTCATTTGTGACGGGTCTTCTGACTCGAGAGTCGCTTTCCCGCGACTGTGCTGTGTCAACGCGTTCGCGACACTGCATAAGGAATATATGCTTATATGCTTTTTGCTGTGTTGGTTGCACTTTTTAAAAAATTTTTAAATGTTTACTTGTGACAGACAGTGAGCGGGCGGGGGAGGGGCCGAGAGAGGGGAGACACACACAGAATGTGAAGCAGGCTCCAGGCTCTGAGCTATCCGCGTAGAGCCCGATGAGGGGTCCGAACCCACCAACTGTGAGATCATGACCTGAGCCCGAGTCCCACTGCGCTTAACGCACTGAGCCACCCAGGCGCCCCTAGTTGCACTTTCTTGCTGTAAATGTAACTTCCCCGGGGCTCTGGGTTTTGAGTCTCAGTAACCAAACACTCGAGTTTATGAATTACTCTTGAAAGTGAAAAAAAGATCTAAGCATAACTATGAGACCACATGGGAGAGGATTTAGAAAATGGGGAGTAAAATGAAAGCTCAAAGTTTGGAGTCCCAGGCCTATCAGCTCCCAGTCCTGCCTTCACAGCTCATGTGTGACCTTGGATTTTAAAGAGGATCAAGTGAGGTAACATTTGTGAAAGTACTTTGCAAATTCTGAAAGCCCCTCAGAAATGCAGAAGTGCTGGCATCCCACTCATCCATTCCATCCCTAATCACGTGTCCCATAGATGTTCTTTATATATGTATATATATAAATTATATACATATATACATATTATATGTATATAACTATATATAAATATATATACATCATATACAAAAAATTATATATATTTATATATATTATATATATAATATATACATATTATATGTATATAATTATATGTGTATAAATTATATATATTATATATAGTATATTATATATACATATATGTATATATATAATATATAATAGGATATAATATATATAATAGGATATCCTATTATATATATCCTATTATATATCCACTGTGTGTGTGTGTGTATACATATCGGGAGAATGATATTTCTTATTCATTTGGGCTTTTTTAAATTATCTGTACTTCCTAATTTTCCTTCACTGTTCATATAAAATCCTCCTTGATTGAAGGAAAGACCAAAAAATGAAGTCCTTGTCAAGTTATAAAGTGGGATTATGTTCCTTTATCTTCTAAAACATATTTAGTAATACAACTGTGCTCCCTTCCTTGCCAAAATGAAAAAGTTCATACATATAGTGTATAGGGCCCCCAACCCCATCCCCAGGCAAAGATAAAACAGGAACTGCCTTCCTCCTCCCTGTTCTGATCCCTGGGGGCCCCAGCTTCCCCTGGAAAGCCCCCTCAACACAGTGAGCAGGTCCATGGGGGTTCCTGGGAGAGGAGACAAAAAGCCAAGAGGCTGGTGTTATCACAGTTACTTTATTGCATCAGAGTTCAGACCACCCCTAAGTCCAGCCCCACTGAACTCCTCCTTCCGTACAAAGGAAGGCCTTTGTATAGGTTTTTCCTCTACCAGGAATGCACTTCTCCATTCACCCTTTCCAACCCAAGACCTTGAGGGTCACAGGCAGCACTGATTATTCCCCTCCTCAGTGCTTCCCCTGACAGGCCATTCTGATGTGAAAGCTTTTATCATCCTGCATGGATCCACAGGCCAGCTGGTGGCCTGCCTCTGAGCAGAGGCCCAGGAAACACTGAAAGCATAACTGAACGGTGATCATGGAAACCAGGAGACAGGCTGGGAACAGGATATGCAGGACATCAAGGCCGGAACTAGAAAGGCTGGGGGCTCACCGGGTGGGGAGAGGACTGAAGAGGTATGGGGCACTGATGGGATCCATTTCCACTTAACACAATCTTCTATCTTTGGGGACTTCCTGGAACTCTAAAGCTCCAGGCTGGAGGTCAAAGAATGGTAAGAGTAGGCTACACACATTAGGAGCCTCCCCCTTTCCTATCCACCAATGACATCTGGGTAGAGGGGGTTTGCTGAGCCCTCTTCTGCCTTTCAGATCAAAGCAGACTCTGGCCTGAATTCCACTGTCACTCCCTCTCAGATCATCTGGAAGCTCCAAACCAAGGTCCTGGGCCCAGCTGACCCCCAATCCTCATCCCTAGCGAGAGGCAATGGGGGGAGGCAGGCCAAGGTGGCCCACATTTTTCTCTCTTTTCCTCTCCCAGGGCAGGCCCAAGCGGTGAACCCCAGCAGCTCGCGGCCAATCCCCAAATCCAAGGACTGGCCATCACCGCCCCTGGCAGCTGAGGCATACACAGAAAGTCACCGAACGCCAGACACAAACAACGTTACCAGGCCTTGTTCCCATCTGGAGCCAAGCCCGGACCCCTGGGCCCCCACTACACCTCCCTCCCTCCCTCCCAGCTGCCCCCCCCCGCCCGCCCCCGCCATTCACTGGGCCTTCCGGTTGAGTCTGTGCCGTACCAGCTGGCTCAGGAGGAACGCGGTCAGGACACTGCTGCCCACGGTGAGCAGAAAGAGGCCAGAGAAGTTGTGGGGCCAGCGGGTATGCAGAGGCTCATAGATGGGCCGCCGGGCCTCGTAGTCCAGTGCCACGGCCTCCAGCTGGGCCAGCGTGCACAGCACCAGGAAGACATGGAAGAGCTGGTGGCCCTGCCCGAAGACGTGGCAGCTGCCAGGAAACCAGCGCTCAGGCATGAAGGTGGAGAAGAAAGCGGCGGCCAGCAGGAAGAAGACCACCTGGCACTTGTGGTAGAGAAGAGCCGGGTCGTCTGAGGTAGGGTCAGGGGACACCACGATGCGATGCACCACGGGGCTGATGTCCAGCGCGTAGGCCAGCGCTGAGGGCACCTCCTGGCAAGTGCGGCCCAGCAGGCCAGGCTTCTGGATGTACTTGTTGTAGCAGGAGCCAGTGCAAGAAAGCCAGGCGAGAAAGGCGGCCACGGGCAGGAAGACGGCCTGCACCTGGGCGTGCCAGGCAGGCTCGATGGCGTAGTAGAAGTGTGCCAGGGCGCTGCCGAACTGGTACACGGCCACGCCCACGTAGTCCAGGAAGAAGAAACTGTAATGCCAGAACTCGGACTTGGCCTGCAGGAGGTGAGCCAAGGCGCTGAAGGAGAGGTAGGTGAAGGATGCGAGGAGGAGGATGAAGAGGGGCAGCGCGTGCGGGTCTCCCCAGATGCCCACGGTCCCCACGAAGACGGCCAGCCGCAGCAGCAGCACGACGGCTGCCAGCAGGTGGGTCCACACGTTCACCGCCTCGTTGTGCTGCTGGAACAGCGTGCGGAAGTAGAAGTGCCAGGTCTGATGCAGCGGCCGGTAGCCCACGTAGATGTACGGCTTCCAGAAGAGCGGTGGCACTTCGGCACGGTCCACTGTGAACACGGGCTCTGGCCGCCTAGACGGCCGAGGCTCCTGGTGGGCCTGCCGCAAACTGGGCAGGAGATGGCTGAGCTTCTGGGCCACCATCGTGGCCATGGCTGTGGGCCAGGCAGGGAGCTGGGAGAGAGGCCAGAGCAAAGTCAGGACACTGGTGTCCTCGACCCTTGATGGCACCACCAGCAGCAGCTGGGAGGCTCGGAAGCCCAGTTCTTAGTCCCTCCTTCCTGCCCCCTTGTCCCCACACTGAGTTTCAGAAGAGAGGAGTCGTCCTAAGGAAGAGCTAGCTCAGCGAGGATCCCGTGACTGTACTCCCCGATGTATCCCATGTGCCTCGAACAGTGCCTGGCATGTAGTAGATGTTCAGTAAATTTCCGAGGAATAATTAAGGAGGCTCACTACCTCAGCCATTTCCACCCCAGTCCAGGCTCCACACAGCAGCCCCTGCTGTTTCCTCCTGTGTTCATGCCGCCATCTGTGTTCATCTGGTGGTGACAATGACCTTGCTGACAGACCCGCTGCCTCTACCTTTAGCCCCTTCCGAGTGACCAGGGTCTCCCACTCACCTTCCATCACCCTCCATGATCTGGCCCCTGCTACCTTTTTCCAGCCTTATCGCTCAACCGCAGTGCCCTTCACATCCAGCCATAGCCTCACCGCACCCCTGGGCCTGCTGTTTCCCACATGTCCTCAGGTTGACACAAGCTGTTCCCTCTGCCTGAGACATTTTCCTCATCTTGCCTACATGGCAAACTCCTAATTATCCCTCAAAACCCGTTTCTTCTGTGATACTTTCCCCGGCCCCCCGAACCTCTGATGATGACCTCTCTACTCGAGTGCCTACCATAAGATACCCATCCTTTCACTAGTATAACGTTCCCCATGGGCATTAAACTTGCTCATGTGAGCTCACTAAGGGTAGGCAGTGTGTGTCATTATTTTGTGAACCGCTGGTGCTTAGCAGGCGGCTGGCACTCAGTACTTGTTAAATCAAAGAACATAACAGCGTCCCGGTAACATTTCATACCCTTTAAGTCTCCAACTCAAAAAGCCACTTTTGTTCCTGAAAGTCCCTGGTAACAACTGGTCTTTAAAACAGCCCTTCCCCTCATCCACAACTCCCCTCAGAAGATCCCTCCTCCAGCCTTTCCACTCCCACCCATGCTTGCTAATGCCAAAGAAGTCAAATCTAACCCCTCAGCCTGCGTTCGAGACCCTGCTCCTACCCTCATTCCCACCTAACCCAAATAGCACACCCTGTGCCAACTTCCTTTCCCTCATTGAAATGCTTGTGGGCCAGGGGACCTCCTTACTGCCCCCCTCCCACTTCCCCTGTATAGGTTATACAACATAGCATATAAAACATATTCATTCATTCATTCATCCGTTTGTGCATTTAGCAAACACTGTGCCCCTCCTCTGCCTCCGATCCTGTGCTCGGTCCAGGGGAGGGCAGAGAGGAAAAAGATTTGATCCCTACCCCTGGGAACTTCATAGTATGGTGGAGTTACCGAGATGAAAACAAATCATAGCAAATGCTTATACAGTACTTGCTATGTGCAAGACACTGTCTCAAGCACTTTATGTACAATTGACTCATTTATGCTTCTTAACCCCCTGTGAGTAGGTGCTCTCATTATTCCCATTTTTCAGATAAGGAACTGAGGCATGGAGAAGTTAAGGACCCTGCCTCCCCGCCCCCCCCCCCCCCCCACCTAGGTAGGATCTGAACTCAGCTTGCAATCTTAACCACTGAACTGCCCTTTGCAAGACACGGTGGGAAGTGCTATTCATCAGTCCCTAATTATATACCCTATATACAGTTTGGCCCGGAACCAGTTGCTTAATTCAGGCTTATCAGTATTCACTATGGCATTCATTAAATCAAAACATCTACTGAAAAACTAGCACCTGCCAGATGACTCCCATCCCTCAAATTCTCTCTAACAAGTTTATTAGACTCAGCATCCTGGTTTTCTGTCCATCTTTCTTTCTTTTCTTTCTTTCTTTCTTTTTCTTTCTTTCTTTCTTTCTCTCTCTGTCTTTTTTTCTGTCTTTCTTTCCTTTTTCATTTATTTTGAGAGAGAGAGCAGGGGAGGAGCAAGAGAGAGAGGGAGAGAAAGAATCCCAAGCAGGCTCCAGCCTGATATGAGGCTCGGTCCCACGACCGTGAGACCACAACCCGAGCCAAAATCAAGAGTTGGACGCTCAACTGACTGAGCCACCCAGGAGCCCTGTCCATCTTTCATCAGACATTTATTGCAACTACCTGTGCACCAGTCACTGTAACAGGCAAGGAGATCCAGGGCAGGATAAAGCACTCACGTTTCTGCCACCAGCAGCACCATGATCACCCCCAAACGCCCCCTGATAATTTATACACAGTCCAAGTAAATGCAGGGAGCTTGCCATGCAAAGGCAGCAAGACAAGCCGCCAGCCCATCAAGCCTCCTCACCCTAGCCTGAAGCTCCTCCCGCACTACACTTCTCAAGTCAGCTCTGGTCTCTGGCCTCTCCTGGTCCAATGAGGAGGCAGGAGTTAAATAAGTTACTACAATACTGCACAAGGGGAGTACAGGACGCCTCCACTTGCTATTCCCCAGACAGCCTTGCCGGCCACTTCCGTCCAGACCACAAGAACCCCCTGGCCTGCTGTGCTAGTGGCGGAACCAGCAGTGGAGGTCCTCTCCTCCCCAAGAGCCTGGGCTTCAGCCTTCACCCCTGTCTACAACTTTGGCTTCCCAGCTCGGAACCTTGGGGAGCCAGAAAAGGCCTCTGAAAGCATCTCATGCAGCACCCTTGTTTTACACTGAGAAAACAAGAGCCCAGAGACAGAAAGGCCTTCCCCAGTGTTGCCCAATCCAGCAAGGTTTCCATTCCACCCCAAGGGAGAAGACCAGGGAATGATAATGTGCGATGGTGGCCTAGTTCCTGGGTCCCTGTGATCCATTAAATACAGTCCAAGGCTCCATATCCCACCCTTAGAACTTCCCAAGGCCTAACAGCCTATTAACGTCTCTGAGAAGTCCTACAGCAAAGAAGCCAGCTTCCCTCTGTTGAACCTACATGTGTCAAGCCTACCTGACCAAGGATTCTTTTCCTAGTAATAATTATATTACAAAGCCAGCTGAATTGGGGGCACCTGGGTGGCTCAGGGCATGATCTCACAGCTCGTGAGTTCGAGCCCCGCATTGGGCTCTGTGCTGACAACTCAGCCTGGAGCCTGCTTCAGATTCTGTGTCTCCCTCTCTCTCTCTCTGCCCCTCCCCTGCTCACATTCTCTCTCTCTCTCTCTCTCAAAAATAAATAAACATTTGAAAAAAAAAAAAACCAAAACCAGCTGAAATGTAGTAAGTGTTTACTATGTGCTCAGTCTTTATAACCTTGTTACAATTAATTCTCATAACTAGCCTTTGGAGGTAGGTATCATTATGCCCATTTTGCTGCTGCAGACAGTGAAATTGGGAGAGGTTAGGAGCTCCTTCCCAAGGGAGGAACATGGACAGAGAAACAGAGAGACAGAGACAGAGACAGAGAAGCCAGAATTTGGACCCAGCTCTCTGACTGCCAAGTACAGGCACTCTTAGCCACTCTGCTGCTGCCCGGCCTCCTGTCACACCAATCTCCATCATACTTTGGAAAAGAATGGTCTAAAGCAGGTAGCCAAGGCCTTTCCCATAAATTATTTCCTTAGTCTTCCAGCAACTGACACACATCTAGAGACCTCAGCCTCCCCACATTACCAAGCCACCCACTGGCTCTACACCAACGAAGCCCTATCTCACAGCTCCCTCCTCAGGTGGCAAGAGGTCACTCAGGGCCCTCCTCCTCCACCAGACGCAGTGGACCCTAAGCACAGACCCCAGAGGCTCCATCCTGGGATAAAGAGATCCTGTTCCCTACTTCCTTTAGACTTCACCCAGCAGCCCCATTCCATCTGAACAGGTCTGTTTTCAGAATTCGTTCCCATCTCCTGACTCCAGGGGAAAGGAGCAGGTGCAGGGGTCCAGAAAGAGCTGGAAGGATGAGGGGAGGGATCCAGAGGCCACCCTCAGAGAATCCTGAGTCATCTGCCCACCAGGCTGCCAGGACCTGCCTGCTTCAGGGCCCCCCTTCCTGGCCCCCCTCCAAACCTAGGTTACCTAGGGAATTTTCTCGAGCCTGGGGGCCGATGGATTCTGCTGTGGGACTGGGCAAATTCTCCAGATGCCAAGCACCTGCGGTACTTCCACAGGTGAGGGTCACTAAGCGCGGGGCTTCCAGGGACTGGAGGTTGTCTTGTGTGATGTCACCAGAGGGTGGGGCTAAAGACAACCTCCACCTCTCCCTTCCCCTCCCCAACACCATTCCCACATTGGTCAAATCCAGGCTAACCACTGCCCTCCTAGCCAGGCCACGGCTGCACAAGGAAGCTCAGCATTAGCCTCCACAGGAAACATCTGGGAAAACCCAGTGGCTGGCTACAAAGTCATGACTTACCCAAGATCACACGGCAAGGCAGGCAAAGCTGGGCTGAGACCAGGTGACCAGGGCCTGGTTGATGGGTGTCAGGAAAACTTGACTGGCTTCTGTCCCCCTACTCCCCAGGAATCATAATGGAAAGAAGTTAGGACTCAAGGAGAAAGCAGACACTATGAAGGCTCATGAAGGAGATGGACTCCAGATTCAGACAAACCAGGTTTGATGCCTGCTTCTGTAACATGCTAGCTTTGTGATCTAAGACAAGCGACTCACCTTCTCTGATCCTTAGTCCCTCATGGGAATTACAATATCATCTACGGCACAGACTGCTTATAAGGATCTAACTTTATTCGGACAAATTTTTAGCACAGTTTAGCAACTTGATAAATGATTGCTACTATTACTAATTATTATTAATAGTAGTCGTATTTGAAATACCCCAGCCTGAAAGATTCACTTGATGTCCCCTAAAAAACTGTCCTCTTTTGGCCATCAAGAGCTGGTCCCACTGGACTTGGGGGCTTCAGTTAACCTTGTCCCTTGAAATATTTACTTTTCTATGAGGATGCATGTGAGGACCAAGGAAATTTGGCTGGAGTTGGAACTTCTGGAGACACTGACCTTATTTAATGATTAAATTCTCCCCAGCATAGACCATTCAGAGTAACCCCTGTGGATTCACAGAGCCCTGAAGATTTGCACTTGGGCACAGACGCAAGAGAGGTGGCTGGGAAATGAAACTGCCAGGGAGAGGGTTGCCACTCCGGCTGCCCCATCCCCCAGTGGGAGGGTGAAGGGGTAGACCATGCTAGCAGGTGATCCAGAAGGCATAAAGTCTGGCCAGGGCGTGTCCTGCAGGTTTGGGAAGCTTCCAGGTTGGCCGAGCCCCAGAACAGAGATCTCCAGGGCTCAAGGGGGAGCTCCTGTCAATCCGAGGAGCTCTGTCCTCCTCTGCCCTCCCACCTCCCATTCTCCTTTTCCATCTCCTCACCTAGCTTCTCAACCAAGTCTTGCCCCAGTTCCTCCTGGCCTCTACCCGACACACACGGTCAAAAAGTCCCATAAGTACCTGTGAGCAAAACAGAAGACCAGGTTGTCGGGATGGGGTAGTAAATGGGCTTTGAAGTGGGAGAGCCCCGGGTTATACCCATCCCGTAGATTTTAGTGCACACGGCAGGCAAAATGCGACAGGGCTGGGGCACATGTTGAATGAAGCAGACAGGCTCACCCACACAAACGATATGCCCACGGGCCTAGGAAAATCCAGCCCCAAGAGAAGCCACCGAGGTGGTGACCACGCAGAATTGGAAAGAGCTGACGTCCCAAGGGAGGGCATCTACCACTCCGGCAGACTACTTCAAGTGAAGCCGTGTTCCCATTTTTATGTGAGGATGGGATTTCAAGTCTGAAACTGAACAGCTCTGTGACTTTGGTAAGTCCCTTAACCTCTCTGAGCCTATTTCCTCATTGATAATCAAAGGATAATAATAGCTACCCCTTGGGCTCTTGTGAAAGCAAAACAAAGTTACTGATGCAAGATGTTAGTTCTGGCACAGCATGGCGCCGCTGTTTTTGCTGTTTGTTGGATTCTAGTCCCGGCTCAGCCGCTTAATCCCTGTGTGACCTTGGACAAGTCCATTCCCCTTTTGGCCCTGTTTCTCCAGGTGTCAAAGGAGAGAGTGAATTTATCAGTAACGTCAAAGGTCCCTTCAGGCCCTGAGACATTCCAATATTTGTTTTAGGCCCACTATGTGCCAGGTGCTAGAGCGTCAGCAGTGAACAAAGCAATTAAAACACTTCCCTTATAGAACTAATAGCCCAGCTAATCAACAGCTAAGGGTAAGAACTAAGGGTGTTAATACCCTGCATTCTTGGAGCTTAATAGCCTAACGAAAAAAAACCCACCTAATATGAGTATTTGGTTATAATTAACTTTGTCTCTTGCCTCCATCTTGGCACGTAAAATATTCATTGTTGCTTCTCTGGGCCTTCATTGTTCAGCACACTCCCTCAAGACTTTATCTTGCCATAGAAGACAAAGTCTAACCTCGTAAAAATAATAGTAAGGCAGGCTTGGCTGGCTCAGTAGATAGAACACAAACTCTTGATCTCAGGATCATGAGTTCAAGCTGCACACTGGGTGTGGAGCCTACTTAAAAATACATACATACTTACATACATACTTACATACATACATAAGATAGTAAGGCCAGATCTGCGTTAACACAGGAGTTGTTAGGAGATCCTTGAGGGATCCTGACAAGGACAATACCACATACAAGCCCAAAATATTAATAAGATGAGGCACTAACATCGGTAATTTACAGTGGCTTGCTGTTTACAAGGAACTTTCACCCACATTTCGCTTCTGCCTCAAAGCAACTCTGAGCCTCCGTGTAAACTGGCATCACAGCCCAGGAGGCAGGATGGCAGAGGGCACATCATCTGACTCCAAAACCAGTGCTCTTGCCCTTTATCCATTGTGGTCAACCTCCAGTCACCCAGGGGATGGCCATACATTACACAAGCAAAGTTTTCATCCCCGGCTGGCCTCCTGATCTCCCAGCAACTGGGTGACCTCCTTCAATGCAAACCAATTCCCAGACTCGGCAGAATGTGTTTAAACAAAAAGTCCTTCTATTTCTTCCAAAACCAAACGGACATCATTTTTGCTTTTGGTAACCGCACTTTGGGCCTCCATTTGTGATCGGGATAGAATAAATAACTCAAAGGAATTCTTCTGTGGAACTCGGACTCACAAATGCTCTGAGGACAAGGTAGAACTCTAAGAGGAAGGCAGGCCCAGAGAGGTTGGGTGAGCTGGCTACAGTCGCCCAGCACAAGGGATGGAAAAAGGACCCAACTTTCACCACTGGCCAGCAAGGGCCCCTCTGGTTAGGGAAACTGAGGCTGGAGAGGGACAGCCTTTCACCACGAGCCTCAGAGGTGGCACAAGACTCTGGTTGTGAGGCTGAGACCCTCTTCCCTAGGAGCTAAACAGAAGGTCTTGGGCCATCCCTCCGGGTGCAGCCAGGCTCCGGGAATCCGTCAAACCCTCAAACTCACCAGCGGTGGCCTGAGTAGGGGGGCCAGGCAGAATGGGCTGCCCCAGGGAAACCTTTGGGGAGGGGGGTCCTCAAAGCCTGCAGACTTGAAGCAAGTGCTATGGGTGGTGTGGGGCTCCCTCCCCTTTCCTCATTGGGTGGGGAAACCTCCATGTTTTCCTGACACCAAGGCAGGCTTCTCCATCCCAACCGGCCCAGGCGTCCCCAGAGGGGGACCCCCTCACATCACCCAGTTCTAGGTACTCATGCACCTTCTGCTCCTGGGGTCTCCCTGGATCCGCCTCCCCCCTAGCCCCGCCGCAGGCGGAGCAGCGAGCCGCCGGCCTCTCCTCCTCCCGGCCACCGCGGCCACCACGGCCGGCCCAGGCCGGCCCTCCGCCCTGCCCACTCCCTCCGAGGTGCTCCCTTCCAGCTGGTCCCCCAGCATCCTCCCACTCTTGCCCGGGGGTGCTCCGACTCCAGCCTCTCTCCCCGCCCGCGTGCGCGCCGCTCCCCGGGAGCACGCCCAGCGCCCCGCCGCCGGCTCCCGGTACCTGCGGCGGAGCGGAGCGGAGCGGAGCGGCGAGGCCGGCCGGCTCGGACCGCGGCCCTCGGCGTCCCGGCGCCCCGCCGACTGATAAAGGGGCGGCGGGTGGCCCGGCCCGGAGGCGGGCGGGGGGCGGGGCGCGGGGCGGTGCTTCCCTACCCGCCGCGCCCACGTGTTGCGCCCAGCGGCAGGGGGGCTCCCCACCCCCGCGACCGTGCAGTCCTGGGAGTTCCTCTGGCGATCGTGGGGCAGAAAGACGCGGAGACGGAGGCCCGGACAGCAGAAGTGGTTGCCCAAGTCCCCGGCTGGGCGGTGGCGCTGCGGAGCCCGCTGAGCGGGTCCCACTTCCGCGGTCTTGAACCACCAGCTCCCGAGCCCGGGTAGCTGACTTGCGGGCGCCGGGCAAGTCGGAGCAGGAGCGCGGATAATTCCAGCGAAAGCCCGCCGCCCAGCCCCGAAGCCAGCAGGGGCCGCACACGCCACCGCTCATTGGGCTGTTTCTGGTCGAGATGGGCCAGGCCTTCCCCGTCTTCGTGTCTCTGCCTGGGGAGTTCCACCCCGCCTCTGCACCCCTGTCTCATTTAAGTTCCCACCTTAGCTCTCTCCGTGGGCGGTTTCCCCTGGTCGGCCAGCCCAAGGCCTGGTGTTTGAACCTCTGTTAAAACACCCACTTTCTACTCCCTAGTGTAATACCCTAGTGTAATATCTCCCCCCAGAAGTGGGAGCACCCAAAGGGTGAGGGATCCCTGCATACACGAGGCCCTCAGCGTATCGTCCCTCCCCCGCACTAGACCAGCAGAGTGGGAGACACCCCCACCGCGTCTGGGGTGCACACAGCCTGATGGATACAGAGCAGAAAGGGGACAGTCTAAAAGGGGACACTGCTCTGCCCTCAGGGAGTTTTGAGTCCATTCAGAGAGACTGTGCAGGGGGCTGGGCGAGGTGACAGGATCCACATCCTGGTGCTACCCTTAACTCACTATGTGACCTTGGGCAAGTCTCCTTGTTCTCAGCCTCCAGTTTATTACTTATAAAATGGAAACAGGAATACCTGACAGGTTGTTAGGAGAATTAATAAAACAACGGGTATGAAGGTTCATTGTCAACCACAGTGAATACTAGACGAATGTATATTTCCTCATTATATTATAACAAAACATATATAATCATAATGTACTAGGATGCAACAGGTCTTTACTTCAACAGATTCAGACAAACCCAAACCCTAAGATTTAGTGAAATCCCTATTACTCATGTGGAGAGACAAAATACCATAAAAGATCCCATCATTTAGAACAGGTAGGGAATAGGAAACAGACAAGTAAGGACATTATGGAAATTATATTCTAAGGTTTATTTATTTATTTTGAGGGGGGAGGAGGAGAGAGAGAGAGAGAGAGAACCCAGGCAGGATCCACAGAGCCCAATGCGAGGCTCAAATTCACGGAACCGTGAGATTATGACCTCAGACTAAGTCAGACATTTAAACGACTAAGCCACCCAGGCACCCTGGAAATCATGTTCTATATGATGGAATATATTCTATCATAGTGAATAAAAACTGAAAACTTGGAAGGTAACTTAGACTCAGCTTCCAGTTTGGAAACACCTGCTCTGTACTCAACATGTTTTTAAAGCTACAGTTTATTAAGCTCTTGCCCTCGGCTGAGAGCCGTGTGCTAAACAGTTGCCATAACTACCTCCTTTGATCCAGACAACCCTATTAACACATTTTACAAACTGGGAAACTGAAGATCAGAAAGGGCACATGGGGCTGTTATATTATCTCATTTAGTCCCATGCATTCCTACAAAATTGAGTGAGATGACCCCCCCCCCCCATTTTATGGATAGAAAAACCGAGGCCCAGAGGACAGAAATGATGTATTCCAGGTCACATAGCTCCCGATATACTTAGGTTCTGAGAAATGGATCTGGAGATGTGCTTGGGGAGAAAAGTCACTTGCCCGTGACACTTGGCTATGGATATTTAAGAGCTGAATGATAAAAATAATTTTAAAAAGGAACAGCGATCAGTTACGGAGCACTTGCCGTGTGCCAGGCCCCATGCAAAGCCCCCCTTACATGCACTATAAGCCCATGAGGATGTAGTTTCATTATCTCATTCTGTGGATGAGGAAACTGGTTCCAGAGATGCTACTTGCCCAAGGCCACCCAGTTGGCTAGTGGCAGGCCTGGTTCCCAGCCTAGCTCTTATCTGGTACACAGTACTGGCAACAAGATGTGACGCTGTGGGGCCAGGACAATTCCTCCCCTACCCTGCTGCCCCCCCCCCCCCTCCTTTTCCAGCCCAGGCAGGGTGAGAGCAGCTCCAGGGCAGCCAAGGGCACCTCCCTCCCCTGCCCTCCCCCAGTTCAGCTGCCTGGGTGAGGCCCAATGCCTTCCTTGCTCCCAGACCCCAAAGCCCCGTAATCCTTTGCATCCACACTCTAGGAGAGGGTGGGTGGAAAACCTATCCAGTAACCTATGCATCATCCAGCTGCCTTCCTAGGCATCAGGTCGGGTCATTAGAGGACCAGGGTGTCCAGGGAGATCAGATTCCTGGATAGGCCTAAAGAGTCAAAGGGCCTCAGAAGTCAGGCGCTGAGCCAGGAGACCACCGGGAAGGGCTTCAGCGCATCCAAAGTAAGAAAAAGGATGTGTGGCCTGAACTGTCCTGAACACATTCTTATCTTTTCCCCCAAACAAGGGCATCCGCTCATTGGGGGCAGCAAAGCAGTGACACACAGGAGTGTATCCTGTCTGGGTTCGCACCTTAGCTCTGTCCCTCCCCCCAGGCAAGTTAGGTAACCTCTCTGGGTATCTAGTTCATTCGTTCTCAAACAGGTCAATACCCTCCATGTAGGGTTGGTATGAGGAGTAAATGAAATAACCCATGAAAAGTACTCACACTGACTGGCAGAGACTGCTTCCTCAACAAATGCCAACTATTACTCTATTTCAGTTCTTTATTCCCTCCCTTTGCCAATGAGGAAAAGGAAAGGCTTGTTATAAGCGCCCCCTCCCCAATGTTTCGGTGGTTTGTTACACAGCATGGTTGAAATAATTCCTGACTCATACACATAGCGAGGCCAGGATTCAAACCCAGAGGGTCTGACCCAAGACCACAGTTTCAACTGTGCATGGTGCAGTGGGGGCACAGCGCCGGGGGGGTACTGATTGCCTACAGAAATTCTCTGCCTAAAGTCCACTTGGAGAGAGTCTTACAGGATGAGGAAGAGTTCACCAAGGCATGAGGAGGGAAAGGACTTTCAAGACAGGGGGAAGAGCATATGCAAAGGTGCAGAGGTCTGAGTGGCGGGGTGAGTTTCCGAAATGAGCCATCACGTGCTGGGGCTGGGGCACAGAGGACCGGCAGGCAACAGATGGCATTCGAAAGGCAGGGAGGGGCTGGAAAGAAGAGAGCCTTGCCAAGGTGGAGGGCTTTATCCTGAAGGCAGTGTGGAGACTGGAGTCCGAGAGTAGAGAGAGGGTTTTCTTTGGGTGGGATGGGGTGAGGGGGGTTTCAAGGACACCAGAGAGGTCGGGGGTGTCCCCTGGGACTCCATGGCCGGGTGTCTGACTCTTGCCCGCAAGCCCCAAAGGGGACGCAAGCCAGGAGAAGCAGAGTGGAGGCCAGTGGTAGAGGGAACTAACTGCATTTCCACGGAAGCAGGACACAGGTATGTGCTGCCCCCAGGCCTGAACTGCGCCTTAGATCCAGCCCCAAAGTCTCCCGTAGGGGCCATGAGGTCTCAGCAGAAAGTGGCTGGAGGTGTCCCGGGGTGTCCTGCAATTGTGGGAGCCATCGTAAACAGCCGGCCCTCCTCAAGGGATCCGCAGATGAGCCCCCATGGTGACTGTCCCCAGCAAGGCAAACACAAGAGTGGCCCGGGCCGCACCGTCACGGCTCACCGCAGATTTCAGCTTCGGCACGAGTGGGCAGTCCCATGCCCGCTGACCTCAGCCCCACTCCAGCGGGCATGCCTCTGCTCTCCAGCCTCTCGGCTCTCCCGGAAGCCTTAGCTCAGCCTGCCGGTTTAGGTGCAGACTAGAAGTGCAGGCTGTTGGCACCCCGAGAGCAGCACTCATGGAAGCTGTTGGAGAAAGCTCCAGCCTCCCGCTCAGAAGAAGACAACTCTGGGAGGCATTCTGTCTGCGCCAGGCTTTCTGGAGCCCGGGAGACCGACCGAAAGCAGCAACCTAGAAGATACCCCCCACCCTCCTTTGTGCTTTGCCTGCTTCCTCCTCTCTGTCTCCTTACTCCCTCCCTTTCCTCTGTCTGGGGTCACCTCCCAAACAAACTACTCGTGTCTAAGTCTCTGTCTCAGGCTCTGCTTTGGGGGAAGACGAGACCAGGGCTTCCAGGACCACCCCTTCCCCCCACCAAATAAAAGCTTGAAACACCTGCCGAGTCTGGAGAGCTCAGGACAAATACAGGGTAAGGCAGACCTTTCCTGAACCTGTAATCACACTGCCCCTTCCACGTGCCCTCCCGGGCAGCCCTGAACAGGCCAGAACCTCAGCGAGCAGCCAGGACGAAAATGAGGGCTCAAAGGTCAGAAATACAGAAGCTAACCATGCACTTCTCTCCTACTCCAGACTCCAGGTTGCCAACACATTCCTACCTCCTGACCTTTCCACTTGATACTCCCTCTGCCTGGAACTCACTTTGCCCCAGATAGGACCGGCATGAGTCTGGGGCCCTCTACAAAATGAAAATGCAAGTCTTTGTTCAAAAATTAAGAATGTCAATATAGTAAGAACAGAACGTGAAACCAAGCATGGGGACCCTCCTGACCACAAAGTCCTGTGCAACTGCGTGGGTCACATGGCCGAGAAGCTGGTCCTGGCTCCAAACAGCTGAACTTCTGTCTGCTGCCCCACTGCCTTCAGGTGTCTGTTTAAATGTCACCTTATCTGATGGAGCACCTGGTTGGCTCAGACGGTAGAGCATGTGACTCTTGATCTCAGGAGCCCCACATTGGGTGTAGAGATTACTTAAAAAATAAAATCTTTTGAAAATATAAATAAATAAATAGGGAGGCCTGGGGTGGCTCAGTTG